AGTGTCAGAATGACCTCAAATTACATGAGAGGGTAATTTTGGATACCTTAAGGACATCGATAAAGTTTCGTCACGTTATGATGAGTTTTGATATGATCAGGGTCAAACTTGATTTTCAAATCCAATTCGCATCATGCTGAAAATAGACCATATAACTATAGCCCTATTTTTTGGATCTCAAAATAGTATCAGACCATTGCTATTGGATTCGAAACATTGAAAAATATCCAGGTACCAAATTTTGGCTCAATTGGACCCTCCGGGACCATTATGTGCCTAACTTACCATAAAAGGATGGGTTCTGCACTATTGCGGTGCAGCCTCGATGAACCAGTTTCTATTTATGAAAACTGTATTTTCTCACTTTGGGATGATTTTCAAATGCTCATAACTTGATTGTTTTGAGTCCAATTAAGCTCAAATTCGGACACGAGCTAGATCTCGACGATCTGCTCATTTTGACATATGACATGTATTATGGCGTGACCCGAAACAAGAGAATTTCTAGAGAGAAGATAAGCTCAAAACATGAAAATTCAGATTTTATAAAGAAGAACGTCCAATTCTTTGAGAGGTCAAAGCTCAAGATCCCGAAGTCGAATCGTTGCAATTATAGGTTCGTTGCGACCGTGCTTCGAACAGATACAGTTTGATATAATTTTTATGTATGATCAAAGACAGGATGACACAAATTTTGAGTAAAAAATGACATATTTTTTCGGTCGTCAGAATCCCATTTTCTAGCGATTTCTCAATATTGGAACGTTCTCAAACGGAGACCAAATAGATGAAATTTATTGTAAAATGATCGTGATAATATCCTCTTCAATTTATGATCAAAATGATGACTTGGAACATCATAGATTGTGCCAAATTGGTGGTCGAAGAATCACAAGTTTATAGAACTTGGCCAGATTTTGGGTTCTTCCTAAAAAATCTGTTTCAAGATGATCAAAGGGTATCAAAACGTGCACAATAGTTCAAGCATCGATTCTACGACAATTGATCGTTCGAATTACCACAGTAAGCATTTGAAAAAGCTTCCGAGGCCTAGCAATAGAAAGAGGTCCTTTATGGAGGGATGATTTTGACATTTGTTGAAAAGTGTTGAAGGGTATTTTGGTCATTTGGTCCAAAATAAGATTAATATTTTAATTCATAAAATATACATTTTTTTTTGACAATTTTAGTAGTTTTTTTGCATTCCACCCTTGTTTTGTGGTTGCTCTATATAATGAACTAAAATCATTTGTAATAAAGTTCTTGAACACTCTTGAAAACTTGGTTATTTGCCATAAAATTCTTGAATACTTAAACATTTTAGAGTGAGATTCTTGAGTTCTCAACTTCTTGTTTTCACTTTGCAAGTTCAAGACCAAGTGGATAGGAGAGTGAAACATTTCCTAGATAGAGAAAATACCCCTAGAACCCTACACTTCCTAGAACCCCAAAGTTCCAACCACCTTAAGATTTCCAACTTCCAACCTCGTACTCCCTAGGATTCCTAGCATCCATACACTTTAGAATCCCTAGCTGCCAATCCTACTCCATACAATCTACACCCCACTCTAGTTATCCTACACCCTAGTCTACACCATACACCCTACACCACACACCATAGTGCACCATGTATCTTAGCCTATTCTATACACCTTAGTTCCCATGCACCACACCTCAACCTAACCTACTTAAACCATACACCTAAGCTTTGGACCCTAGTTTTGACCCACCAAGCCCAATATCTCTCTCTCTCTCATGTACATGTAAAGGGACCGATGGATGCACACCTAGGCTCAAACTCGTTCTAGGTCCACTCTCTCTCCTTTCTCTTCTCCCTCCCTTTCTCTTCTTTCACTCATCTCTTCTTTCTCTCTCTCTCTCTCTCTCTCTCTCTCTCTCTCTCTCTCTCTCTCTCTCCTGCTTGGACCCAGGGCAGGTCTAAGCCTTCACCCTCCCCCTCCCTCTTTCTCTTTCTCTCTTTCCCTCTCCCTCTCATGTCCAAACTCTCAAACCACAACTAGGGCAGGCCCGGCCTTTTTCTCTCTCACTCTCTCTCATTTTCCCATCTGTCTGTCTCTCTACTCTCTCCATCCGCCCCTCTCTCCACTGTCTCCATCCGCCCCTTTATCTACTCTCTAGCCTACTCCTCTCTCTCTTTCTATCTCTCCATCCGCACCTCTCTAGCCTACCCCTCTCTCTCTCTCTCTCCCTCTCGTTCTATCTTCTCCATCTGCCCCTCTCTAGTGTACCCCTCTCTCTCTTGTTCTATCTTCTCCATTCGCCCCACTCGTTTACCTTCTCATACTGCCCATCCGCCTTACTCTCATACCCTTATCCGCTCCTCATCCTCTCTCATCTCCCCTTAGAGTCTGGATCCGTACCATAGGCGGGTCCATCACCCCTTGACCCCATCCATTCTTCTTTCTCTCATTTTAATCATCTTATTCTCTTCATAAGTCATGCCTTGACTTCTTATTCACTTTATTTTATCTCTATTTCATTGTTTCTTTATTCTCACTTTTACTTACCATATTTCTTGCACTTCTTAAACACTCGATTCGGGGCCTTCTTTAGATAGTGTCTTAGAGTTCTAACTCTCAAATTGCTGCGTCGTAGAGTTCTAACTCTTGGATTGCTACTCTAACCATTGGCTCGTACAGTGAAGTCGGGCCATAAAATACATTGATTCTTTTACACTCGATCACTTAGGTTGGGGTCATTATGAGTTAGCTTTCTTTAGAGTTCTAGCCCTTTCACTACTCTAACCACTGAGTCACATAGTATTTGGGTTGTGAGAGACTTTTCTTCTCTCTCTCTCTCTTTCTCTCTCTCTCTCTCTCATTTTCTTTTAACCCTTGATCACTTTTAAGGGGCTCTTTGTTTTAGTGACCTACCTCATCATGTAACTCTACTTTCCAAATCCTCCGGGTACCAAGGCTTCGTGCCTGGTGCTTTTCTTTGTCTTTAGTAATACCTCTTAAGAGAGGTTATGTCGGGAGGCTGCCCGATTTTCTTTGGGTCGTCTCTTCACTTCTGTTATCATCTTTTTCTTCTTCTTCTTCTCTCTTTTAAACCAATCACTCATTCACTCATTATTATCCTCTTCTTTCTTCCCTCCCTTTTCTATTTCTTTAACCACTTTACCCCAATACTAGAACCATTCACTCATAAAAAGTACATTAGATAGGAGTACATTAGATTTGGATTTCATTAGCAGTTTTCAAGAGAAATTTGAGGTAAAGTGTTGAGTTTAGAGAGGGGTTGCATCCAAACCTCGATGTTGAATAGCTGAAGGGCTTTCGTTCATTGATCTAAGAGGGCAATAACCTGAGCTTATCCCACGAACTCAAACCACGGTAAGGTAGGTGCTCGAGTCCATCTCTTCATCGCTTTAAAATCCTCTCATAGTTAGACATACCCATCCGCGTGTGACACACAAGTAACACATGCGCTAGTCGAACCTGGGTCCCCGAGGGAGCCTGGGAGAGGTAGATCCAGGCCCCATCAGCTAGCGACTCCATTGGAGATAAGCGACCCTATAGTTGGTACTGTCCGCTCTCAGACAAGCATTTCATCTCACTCTTTCTTAAAAATTGCTATGGAGTCTAACTACTCCTCTCTTATCCGAATTGGGGATTTCATCATCCCTACATCCGTGAATGTACTTATGGGAAGTAAGATTCTTCAATCTACTACTCCCATGTTACTCTTGAGTAGTCTCTTTGATCCTATCACCCGAGCTTAGGCTCAGGGAAACTCGAGAAAGGGACCTCAAATCCCTTACTTTCTACCAGCATCAACGGCAAGCCCATTGGTGTCAATTGTATGAACAGTTCTAAAACCACTAAAACCACTGCCCTTCATGCTCACACTGCTACTGGTGGACTCTTTACCAATTATAAGCTCAAAAGTGGTTCTAAGACCACTCCCTCTCTTCATATAGTTGGTTCTTCTAAAACCACCACTTCAGTGGGTAACCACACAGTTACCCCATCTTCACTCCACATGGACACTACTCGTACTGGTGCGTTGTCAAATCCCTTACTCCCTTTCTACCGGCATCAATGGCAAGTCCATTGGAATAGTTGAAAATAGGTAAACTATTAAATACTTGATGAATCAGTTGTCCAGTGATAAACCTTCCCATATCGTTTCAAGCAGCGATAGCTAAAAGTTAAAACATCGACTGTTTTCTCTAATGACACGTTACGGATCACATGAAATCTCAATATTCTTTTATCCTATTTGTCTTTATTATTATTATTAAAACGTGTGACTAGAGTGTGGGGATGCTACCACCAAAACCCCAAAGCAACATGGAGCTAAAGACTACTAGAAAGCCTAAACAACTTGCAAACATACCGCAATAATATCACAATATGGGGGTCATCCAAACGGGCCTTAACAACATTCATCAACTGCAAGCGATTCAATGGTTTATGCTTTAAAATGGCAAGCCAAACTACGAAACCAATTAGCCCAAGAATGAAGCAATATGGCCGCTACGAAACCAATTAGCCCAAGAATGAAGCAATATGGCCGCCGATTCTTTGGCCAAAGTAGTAGTTTCTATGGATGAAACAACAGTGTGGCGTGCTCATTCCCCTGATTTTGCAACGCATTAATTGACGTTGCTAGTGTCCCCTTGTCAAGAGTTGTATAAGATATGTTCATGTGAAATCTTTTTGGTTTTTTAATAAAACAGGGAGGGGCTCAATATCCCCACTGATTCATCTAAAAAAAATTAGTCCAAGAATCTAAGAAATTGATACACTAAGATCAATCATGTCCATCAATTTCATGGAAAAATGGCTACCAATCTCTCCAAATTCTGAAATTCGAAGGATTTAAAACTCAATATTAACTCTTGAAATAATTAGGAGTCGGGCCTAGGCTTGACATTAGCAATACTATATCTCAAGTTCAACTTTGAATTACCCAAAAAAATTCATACTAATTACCAAGCAAAAGCACAAGTTTTGGATAAGCATAAGAATCGATTGGCCAACATAAATTAAAAGTTTATAATTGCAAGATTTTTTAAATAAAACCGAAAGGAAGAGATTTGAAAGAAATGCAGAGGCCCAACCAAGCATAATGCTCTTCACATAAAACAGGATTTTGAATATTCAGAAGGATTGAATCTTCGCATCATTTCTTTGCGAAAAGCCCTCCAAAGCCGCCGAACCCACCCTCTTTCTTTGGTGATGGGATCGTCACCGAATTCTTCTTTCCGACGCCATTCTTCTCCTCGACCTTCTTCAAAATTGGATCGGTCTCATAGAATTGGTCCTCTTTCTGTAATTTCGCAGTAATCCAATCAAAGAGACCTTTCTCTTCACCTCCACTACTAGATTTTGAGGCAGCTGTGGCATGAACTCGTCCAATTGGGGGCCTGAAAGTGATAGGAAGAGTGGCCATTAATGGCTTCTTCTTGAGCTTGGTTGTGTTTTAGAGAAATGGATTGTAAGAAGCGTGAGAAATGGTTGATGAGAGATAAAAGAGAGAAGTGATGAGAGATGAGGGGGAAGGAGTGAGACTCTTTGTATATTGGGGATAGTGGGTTGAGAGGATCTGGGCCGGATGGGGCCAAGATCTGACGGTTGAGATTGGTTGGAGCCAAATTGTTAGTGCTGCGTGTTGTGTGGAGTGTGTGTTTCCACCACGAGTTAGCCACAAGCTTCTTATCCAGGGGTTTTGAGAGTTGGGAAATGGGAAATGGGAGTAAAAGACGAATTTACCCTTAGGACTTGTTGAAATATCATTTGTAGGCTTTGTATTCTATTTCTTGAGCAATGCTAATGTTTTGGCTCCCAATATTTTACAATTTTATATCACAAGAGAAGCGCTATTTTTTTGTGAGAAGATTGGATGCTCCTCCAAGAATAAAATGTATGTTTGATCCCTTGAAAACCATGGCTAACTTGATTTTTTTTTTTTGTTTTGTTTTTGGGTAATTAAATGGAGAAGCCCTACTCGTTTTTTCAAATAGTTTATGAGGTTTTTTCAAATAGTTTTGAAGTTATTTTTTTTAAAGTGCTTGTAGGTAGCGTGAGAATTAAACTATACTATGGTGACTAAGATGTGGGAGTACTAACACCAAAACCGTACCTGATTTTGGGATTTTGATATACTTGACTTCATGACTAACCTTAAAAAAAATAAACAAATAAATAAACAAAATGTAGATAGGATCTACTTGTAAAAAGTTAAGCCTCTAGATTCAAAATACATACTGTCCAATTTTCAGATAGTCAGATCCGATGTCTAAACACGTGGAACCCTAAAAAATGGGTAAAAAAATTATAGAAGAAATGGTATCAAGCGATTTCTACTAGAGGGAAACATGGATCAATGATTCTGCATCTGGATCACTAGGTTTTAAAACCCTAGATGCAGATCTAAACATATAAAAACTTTAAGCTCTTCTATCTTTCTAGAAAAAGGTTGCGCATCGAGCGATTTTAAGGTGATCTGAATGATCAAGGAAACCCTTCTAAGCAGGTATCTTCCTAAAGGAATACATGCATAATACAATCCATAATACATGCATATATACAATATATAT